CACCATGTTGACCAGGATGGTCTCGATCTCTTGACCTGGTGATCCACCCGCCTCGGCCTCCCAAAGTGCTGGGATTACAGGCGTGAGCCACCGCACCCGGCCTAATGACTGGTTATTTTTATATTGTGGCTTACCTCGCTTGATGAAGGTGTCTTAGATAGTGTTATTTGATCTAAGACTCAGGCGGGGCACAGTGGCTCATGCCTGTAATCCCAGCACTTTGGGAGGCCAAGATGGGTGCATCACCTGAGGTCAGGAGTTTGAGACCAGACTGGTCAACATGGAGGACCCCTGTTTCTATTAAAAATACAAAAATTAGCCGGGCGTGGTGGCACGTGCCTGTAATCCCAGCTACTCGGGGGCTGAGGGAGCAGGATCACTTGAACCTGGGAGGAGGTTGCAGTGAGCCAAGATAGTGCCATTGCACTACTCCAGCCTGGGCAACAGAGTAAGACTCCTTTTCCAAAAAACAAACAAACAAACAAACAAACAAAGACTTAAGCATGGGAAAGACAATTCTTTGTGAGCCTTGGAATAGATTTCTTTCCAGATTCTAAAGGAAATACCGTATCTTCGGTAACTTCTATGTGCCAGGGACCATGCTGAGATTTTAGCTCTCATTTAACTCTTGTAGAAATCCAGAGAGATGGCCGGGCGCAGTGGCTCACACTTGTAATCCTAGCACTTTGGGAGGCCAAGGTGGGTAGATCACCAGAGGTCAGGGGTTCGAAACTAGCCTGGCCAAGATGGCAAAACCCACTCTCTACTGAAAATGCAAAATTAGCTGGGGGTGGTGGTGCATGCCTGTTATCCCAGCTACTTGGGAGAATCGCTTGAACCTGGGAGGCAGAGGTTGCAGTGAGCTGAAATTGCGCCATTGCATTCCAGCTCGAGCAAGAGTAAGACTCCATCTCAAAAAAAAAAGAAAAAAAAAAAAAGAAAAATTCAGAGAGATAGGTGTTATTAATTTATTGAATACACTGAAACTCAAAGTGATTAAGCAATTTGTCCAATATCACATAGCTCAGAGAAAAAATTGAGATTCAACTCAAATCTATTGGAAAGTAATTTTCATGCCATTTGCACTCACTCTGGAACACTACCTCACAGGCAGAAGGAAAAGAAGAAAACAGAAAGTAAAAGGCAGGGGTCTGGAAAACTAGAATGCCCCAGGAGAATAGAGTTGACCTAAGAATTAAAATAATTATAATAATAATAAAACAGGGATCAAGGTTAGCCACACAGAAAAAGAAATAATAAAAGTATACATTTCTTTTGCTATAGCCTGCAACTTAGAAAAATCTATTATTATTTTTTGTTTGTTTGTTTGGGATGGAGTCTCACTCTGTTGCCCAGGCTGGAGTGCGGTAGCACGATCTCGGCTCACTGCAACCTCCGTCACTTGAGTTCAAGTGATTCTCCTGCCTCAGCCTCCTGAGTAGCTTGGATTACAGGTGCCTGCCACCATGCCTGGCTAACTTTCATATTTTTAGTAGAGATGGGGTTTTGCCATGTTGGCCAAGCTGGTCTCGAACTCCTGACCTCAGGTAATCCGACCTCCTCGGCCTCCCAAAGTGCTGAGATTACAAGTGTGAGTCACCTCACCTGGCCAGAAAAATCTATTTTTGTCATGTTCCTGGGAGGCCAGTGAGAAATAGGAACAAGAATTATACCTGTTTCTCCAGTGAATATGGGGTTCATAAAAAAAAGGATATATCCAAGCCGGGCGCGGTGGCTCAAGCCTGTAATCCCAGCACTTTGGGAGGCTGAGGTGGGTGGATCACGAGGTCGAGAGATCGAGACCAACCTGGTCAACATGGTGAAACCCCGTCTCTACTAAAAATACAAAAAATTAGCTGGGCATGGTGGCGCTTGCCTGTAATCCCAGCTACTCAGGAGGCTGAGGCAGGAGAATTGCCTGAACCCAGGAGGCGGAGGTTGCGGTGAGCCGAGATCGCACCATTGCACTCCAGCCTGGGTAACAAGAGCGAAACTCCATCTCAAAAAAAAAAAAAAAAAAAAAAAAAAAAGGATATATCCATTTCATAGGGGTCAGCGGGCAAAACTGAAGAAGGAGCAGAAGTGCCAGGCAACATCTGAGAGACAGTAACTGATGCTCTCTGAGATGGGGACTCTCTTCCTGATGTGGAACCTGAGGCTCCTCAGCAGGAGTTTTCCCTGACTCCAGCTCCAGTTCACCTGTAGTCACCGACCTACACACTTTCAAACTGCTTTTATTTTATTTATTTATTTATTTATTTATTTATTTGTTTGTTTATTTTTGAGACGGAGTTTCACTCTTGTTACCCAGGCTGGAGTGCAATGGCGCGTTCTTGGCTCACCCCAACCTCTGCCTCCCGGGTTCAGGCAATTCTCCTGCCTCAGCCTCTCGAGTAGCTGGGATTACAGGCACGCGCCACCATGCCCAGCTGATTTTTTTGTATTTTTAGTAGAGACGGGGTTTCACCATGTTGACCAGGATGGTCTTGATCTCTTGACCTTGTGATCCACCCGCCTCGGCCTCCCAAAGTGCTGGGATTACAGGCTTGAGCCACCGTGCCCGGCCCTATTTTATTTATTTATTTAAGTCTTACTGTGTCACCTGGGCCAGAGTGCAGTGGCTCGATCTGGACTCACTGCAACCTCTACCTCCCAGGTTCAAGCCATTTTCCTGCCCCAGTCTCCTGAATAGCTGGGATTACAGGCACCCTCCATCACACCTGGCTAATTATTAAATTTTTAGTAGAGATGGGGTTTCACCATGTTGGCCAGGCTCATCTGAAATGCCTGACCTCAGGTGACCTGCCTGCCTCAGCCTCCCAAAGTGCTGGGATTACAGGCATGAGCCACTGCACCCAGCCTTATTTTATGTATGTATTTATTTATTTATTTGAGTCAAAGTCTCACTCTGTCACCCGGCTGGAGTGCAGTGGTGCAATCTTGGCTCACTGCAACCTCTGCCTCCTGGGTTCAAATAATTCTCCTGCCTCAGCTTCCCAAATAGCTGGGATCACAGTCACCCGCCACCACACCTGGCTAATTTTTGTATTTTTAGTAGAGATGGGGTTTCACCATGTTGGCCAGGCTCATCTGGAACTCCTGACTTCAGGTGACCTGCCTGCCTAGGCCTCCCAAAGTGCTGGGATTACAGGCGTGAGCCACTGTGCCCAGTGAGACTGTCCCCTCTTGAATCCTTCAGCTCAATCTCTGACAGTGAGACTTTTGAGGTGATAATCCAGATACTTCTGGAAAAGAAAATTTCAGGCTAATGTGAAGCTAGGTTTTTGAGTTGTCTTAAGCAGGTGGAGCCCTTGTTTGTGCCTGGCAGTGTCAACCCTTAGGTCTGGTGAGGGAACTTAGCACAGAGAGTTCCCACTGCCTGCTGTTTACAGTTGGTGCTGGCTGGTATTGACAAGAAATGAACCTAAAATGCAGGAAATGTTGAATTTGTCTGGGTTAAATTTTGCTTCCTGGGAAGATAAAAGATCAGAAGCATTTAAAATGTTTCAGAATTCTTTGATGATTTTAAGGAATCATTTTTCCCAAAGGTGGCAAATGCTGCTTTTAAATTTAGCTAGAACTGAGAACCAGCCCTGGCCTTACCACTCAGTCCTTGGACTTAACCCGTGTGATCTGTGTCTTCATCTGCAAAATGGGGACAAAATAGCTAAGAGCTCATAGGATCATTTTGTAAGGATCAGATAACATAAGAAGGGTGAAAATGCTCCATAAAGTAGAAAGGGCTTCATTAATGGAAAGGGATTATGAGTTCTTTCTTTAAATGTGAAGTTAAATGGAGGATAAAGGGTGGAGGCACTGATAACATTTTAGCCTCCAATAATCACTTTTTAATGTTTATGAGGCGTTTCAAAACCATTTTCCTCTCTTTCGTACTGTTTTTTTAAAAAAAATTTTCTATAGGAAGATAGGACCTCTCTAAGTATTTTTTTTTTTTTATTTTTATTTTTATTTTTTTTATTTGAGACGCAGCCTCACTCTGCCGCCCAGGCTAGAGTGCAATGGCGCTGTCTCGGCTCACTGCAACCTCCGCTTCCGGGTCCAAGCCATTCTCCTGCTTTAGCCTCTGGAGTAGCTGGGACTACAGGCGCGTGCCACCACGCCCGGCCAATTTTTTTTTTTTTTTTTTTTTTTTTTTTTTTTTTTTTTTTTTGTATTTTTAGTAGAGACGGAGTTTCACCGTGTTAGCCAGGATGGTCTCCATCTCCTGACCTCGTGATCCGCCCACCTCCGCCTCCCAAAGTGCTGGGATTACAGGCCTGAGCCACTGCGCCCAGCCCATACTACTTTTCAAACGGCAAGGGTCATTACTTGTCCGGCCCAGTCTGGGATAAATAACTCTCCCAGGATTAGACACCAGGTCAAGTGCCAAAATACAAATGAGAATTAAGCATAGCAGATGGTTGATTGCTGGGTCCTGAGTTTCCTTCCTATTTAGTGAGCTTCATGGAATGCGGGCAAATTTATCTGCATTTCTCCTGTCAATCTTGTAACTTTTAAGTGAGATAAAATTCAGTTGGCTACCCTTTACAGGGACTTTATTTCCCATTGTATTCAAGACTGTCAGCAATGAATATAAACTGTTTGTAAAAATCCCATCGTTAGAATCTTCCAGAAACTGAGGCTGGGAGAGATTAACTATCTTGCTCAGGCCTCACAGCTGGTGAGTGACAGGGCTGGGGCTACAGCCCCGGTCTAACTCTGATCACACACCCCTTCTTTGGAAAAAAGTCATCATGTAAATAATAATAAGAATAACAACAATAACGGCAGCTAACACTGAGCGCCAGGCACCGTTCTAAGCTCTTTGCATGTGTTAACTCAACCAGCAAAGAACTACTTTTAGAGCATTCTTTTACTAAGGTAGCCCGATGAGAACGGTATTTTTTTCCCCCTCAGCTGAATGACACCGCAACCCGAAATCACAACTGTGTTTTAGGTTCCTGGTGGTGCCTGCTTCCTCTTCTAGTTTGTTTAGTCACAGAATGCGATTCCTGTTGGCCGATTCCGCGCCTACAAACAGGCTTAGCGCTCCTCTGAAATGCGGGAGGCTCCTTAACTCTTGTATAAACAGGTAAGGCGAAGGGGGTGGGGCGCAGATTGCGGACTTCTGGGTTTCTTTGGGATGGGAACGGAGTGGGGGTTCGAGCCAACTGCCCAGAGAGCAGGCAAGGTGAAGCGAGGGCTTGGCTGCTGTTTCTCAGTGCAGTGTTTTTTGTTCCCTTTCTAGAAACCAGCCGCAACTTTAGGTCAGAGCGCATTAAAATGAGCCGCTTCTGAACGAGCAGCGCCCAGGCCCCAGGCCCTGCTGCGAAGGCCCCGGCAAAGGTCAGGGCCCCGTCCGCGTGACGCTCCTGCCTGCGCGCGGCCAAGCCATGCTCGTCCCCAGGTAAGGACGTCCCGGGAGCTCTCCCCCGGTACGCGGGGGGCGCAGAGATTCCACCTCGTCCAGCGACTTCTTTACTTGGGGGGAGAAGGGGAGCGGGGCGGTTCCAATCGGCTTGAGATTCCACAGCAGGTTCCTGATTCCTCCATGGCTGGGTTTCTTGGAACAGCCCGACGGGGCCCGGGCGTCTGACCCGGACACACGTTCCCAGGTGGAGCAGGTGCCACTTCTGGGTGTCTGAAAGGCATGTGACTTTTGGGGCGGGGAGAGAAGTCCGTCTGGTCAAGGCCCCCCAGTCTCTCCCATCAAGGCCGATTTTCTTTGAACCTTCAGCAAAGGTATCTGCGCTCCTAAAAAAACAACAGGAATGTGGCACTGGCCTTTCGCCAGGCGAGGCTCAGCGAGCAGGATACAATTTCAGGGCAGATTTACGGGAAGTTGCCGGTGTTGGGAGTAAAAATCTGGTTTGGTGAGTTTAAGGGAAGGGAGTAGACGAGAGACAACCTCGCTACTGTGAGGCGGATGGCCTCGGCAGGGGGCGGGCGGCGGGAGGAGAGAGGGAGGGAACCGGGAAGGGCCCGCAGACCAGACGCCGAGCGCTCCCGAGCGCAGCGCCCCACGCAGCCGGGACCCGGTGCCGCTCTGCGGGTGGAACCGCCGCGCGCTCCCAGTCTCGGGAGCCGAGCCCCAGAGAGCTCCGCCGCCTTCGGGTCGCCGCTCCCGCTCTTCACTGTGGAATGAGCAGCTTGGGATAGAGAGAAGCCGGGGTTTGGGGAGCGGTCCTCCTGGAGACTTTCCCTTTGCAGGTCTCCAAGGTTAAGCAATTCCGACCCACTGGAATTCCCAGAGCCTGGGAGTTAAGCCTAAAACGCTCTGTTGCTTTAAGCGGCGCGGTGGGGAGTCGCTGGACTTTCCTTATTTTGTTTTTACATTAAAAAGAGGGCGGCGGAGAAGATGTTGTAGGTGACTTCCTAGCTGTGTAAGTTGCTCCTGGGCTGTGATGTTAATTTCTGAAGTGGGCGACTCCAAAAACTTAACAAGGAAAGGTAAGGTGATTTTGGTAGTCCCTTCTAACTATTGTCCCTTAATCTTACGTTTGGGTCCCGATTTTTGAAGTATATATATATATATATATATATATATATATATATATATTTTTTTTTTTTTTTTTCTTCTCTCTTTAGCCCTTATCCCTCATGCTATCACTCTCCTGTCTCTCGGTATATTTAGTGGGAATAAAAGGGTCAACTTCTGGGAAAGCAGATAATCGTATACAGTCCCCATCGTGTTTCCTGTAGTGATGAATCTCTTTCCATAAAAGAAACTGATTTTTTTTTTCACTCTTGAAAATACATGATTGGACCGCCCAGAAGCACAGGTGACTTTAGACTTAGATTATTACTGTGTGTTTGGGGAAGCGTCCTGGACGGGAGGCAGCTCATTTAAGTGTTAACCAAGGCAGAGGGGGGTCTTCCTGCAGTAATTTACCTCTGAAAGTAACACTCGGTGGAGGTGTAATTGTTTCAAATTAAAAATTCAACCCGTAGAAAAGAGCAGGACTGACGAATTATGACATCTGACAAATCATCAGTCAACCGGATATTTAAGAAATCAGATAAAATAAATGGAAGTGGAATTTTTTCAGATAGATGACTCATTTTTTAATTAGGTAAAAGTTCAGCCACTCATGGGTACTGTCCCAAGGCATAAGTGATAGGAAGATAGCGTCTTCAAGGTACTTACAGGCCATTACTACCCTGAACTAAAAAATCAAACCTTTTTTTTCTTCCTGGTAGTATTTTAATGACTCATTCAGTTTTCTCTAGCAGGAATATAGATTAAAAAATGTATTTAAAAGTTTTAAGGCAAGGTCATACGAATTTCTCAGGGTGGGGGGAAGCAAAGGGTTGACAACCCAACTTGAAGGCATTGCCGAAGTTTTGAGCTCAAAAGGTTGGCAGTTAGACCCGGAGCCTTTGAGAATTGGAGGTGCCGATTCTAAATGGTGAAAGTCAGCGGCGCAACACTCAACCTCTAGACAAACCAAAGTAGTCAATCTAGAGGCTAAGGGAACACTTTGTGGGAGTTTGTTGCTATTCATTTAGACAATGATCTTTGTCAGATTGCTGAATTGGAAATCTTGGAAGGAACTAAAACTAGCCCAGTCTGAAAGGAAAACAGAAGGAAGAAAAGAAAGGTTTAGATTTTAATATTTTTTCTGGTCTACCTTACCTTCACCTTGTTCTAATATACACAATATTGGCCTCTTTGACTTAAATTACTGCATACTGGAGGGATGGGGTCTCAGAAATGTCCCAAGCACCTAGCTTCATTATTAACTTTCAGTATGTGTCAAATGAAGAAACAAGCCTAGCTCTGCTATCCTTTACCAGACTAGGTAGGCCATGCTGAAATTCATCAGATCAAGAGTTTCTGAATATCAATCAATTATTAAAGATTTATTATCTTTCTCTTGGTTTTTGCATTTACAGAAGTTTGTAGGATTGAGAATTTATTATCTTTTTTGTCAATTTCTATATTTTTAATAGTCAACATATTTATTTTTGATCCCTTCACTCACTGTGCTGCTCTAGATTAAATGTTGAAAGAATTCTGCCCTAAGCAGTGGTGATACTGAGGATGAAATAAAGACGGAAAGCAAGGGAACTACATGCTTCTGGACACATGTTCTATATACTTGCTCTAGCTAGTGTTAAAGACTACTCACGTTTTTTTCCTCACATGATAAGAACATTCATATTAGACTCTTTGGTTTACTGTTCTAGGTCATGATTTTTTTTTTAAGATTAGGTTAAAGTAGATGAAATTATTTTCTTACAGAAGGATTTAATTTGCTTTTCAAGTTCTGCTCTGGAGCTCAAGATTAAATCACTTCCCACATGATTGAGGTTTCACTGCTATAGAAAAGCATTTGGCGATTTCAGTTAAGTTTCCACCTCCACACCTTAAGTCTCCTGATTTTTCAGAAAAGATCAGGGAATGGATACAAGGGTGAAGGGAGGGAGATTTTCTTAAACCTGGACCCAGGCTCAAGTGGAACTGTGATTTGGTTATCCCAGAAGATACATAATTCGCGGGTGGGGGTGGGGATGTGGGGAGGGGAACTTACTCTGAAGAGGGTTTAAGTTTGGGATTCATGAGATTTAGAATAAAGGATACATTTAGAATGAAAGTAAAATTTGTGTGCCATACTTTTATCAAGTTACAGTGAAGACATTAAATGCAGCTTTAAGTGCTTGTCACGGTTGATTCCAACCTAAATGTTGTATTGCAGTGTTTCAGCTACTGGCCTGAGTAGGGGAAATATTTTCTTTCTCTCTTAGAAACAGTCTCTGTGTCTTAATGATGATGCTGATTTTCTGCTTTAATATCATAAAAGGTATGTGTTAGTCACAGCATTACTGCTCTGAGGAATGGCTTCAAAGAGCAACTGGGTAAAGATTTTCAATAATAGCAATGCAGAGATGACTTGGGTTTCAAGATAGGAGGCCTTTGGAGCCTCTAGAGAATTGTCAGAGAAATGATCAGTAACTAATTGCTCAGTTGCCGCCTCAAGTTGTTGGAAACATCTTATGCTGGAGAGATTCAAGGGGAAATGGCACCCTGCCATTTTTTGTGTGTGGCCCTGAATCATCTTGTCAGTAAAACTCCTGAGATTGTCTGAGCTTGAGTTCTGATTGTTTGTGTTTCTCTCACAGTTGCTTCCCCATCTATTCTGTCTGCATCTGTATGGGGGGAGGGGCGGTGGGGAGGGCCATCTCCCCCACTTGAAGTCAATGACCACTTTCTTTTAAGGATCTCTTATCTTTTGCTCTGAAAATGTTCTGGGGAAGGAAAACTTTCATTTTCCAGTGAAAGTAGAAAGGGAGAGAGTGTCTAGAGGAATACATAGCCAAGAAACAGGTACGTTCTGAATGTGGTCCTAGTGTGGAAAGCTCACATGGAGATTATCCATATCCTCAAAGTATTGCAGGTAAACTAGCAACTGTGGGAATGGGAGGCTCCTCCTTCCCTTTTGTAATTCAGATGTTCGTAGTGTACTGCAATAGACACTAGTTTGAATGAATTCAAGATAATCATCTCTTGGTACAACCAAAAGTAAACTGATTACAAAAGGTGCGAACCCTTCAACCGCACTCCTACTTTTTGCCTTTCCTCTACTTTCTGTGTGATTTAAGGACTCCTGAAAAAAGAAAAGAATCACAGTTCAGTTTATGTAACTTACATATTTAATAGGAACACTTTTTTGTTGTTGTGACTCTCCCCTTTTTGTCTTCATAGGAACTTAGTTTATGTAAAAAATGATTTGTGGGTGTGTCTGGATGTACATGGTTTGTGTGTTTGTAAAATAAAATGCACAAATAAGCTGATCGCATAGAAGTGATTAGTAGCTTTTTCGGAACACCCTATCAGAGCTTTTAGAGTGGAGTCATTTTAGAAATCAAAAGCACAATCTCTGCTTTTCCGAAGGCCATTTCAGGGAGATGGCATCAGGAGAAGACAAAGTGCTACTGTAACCCTGAAAACCCTTTGTGTTTTAGGAAAATATCAATCTTTTGGTCTCAGGAGATTCCTGGTTCTGCAAAATGTACACTTTATTTATGGATTACACTCAGCCACATTAATCAAGGAAACAACATCCAGCCTCTTCTTTTTTTTTTTTTTTTTTGAGACGGAGTTTTGCTCTTGTTACCTAGGCTGGAGTGCAATGGCACGATCTCTGCTCACCGCAACCTCCGCCTCCTGGGTTCAGGCAATTCTCCTGCCTCAGCCTCCTGAGTAGCTGGGATTACAGGCACGCACCACCATGCCCAGCTAATGTTTTGTATTTTTAGTAGAGACGGGGTTTCACCATGTTGACCAGGATGGTCTCGATCTCTTGACCTCGTGATCCACCCACCTCGGCCTCCCAAAGTGCTGGGATTACAGGCTTGAGCCACCGCGCCCGGCCTACATCCAGCCTCTTCTAATCACGATGTTTG